AAATATTTCTAGAAATAGTAAAATTATATTTGTGTAATGAAATCAGTAATCATCTACTATAACGAATTATTCATTATGCATACCGCATAATTTGTTATAGTGTTAACGAAGATTCTTATAATGAAGTCCTGATTGGCTGGATCAGCAACTTCGTTATATCGAGGTGTGACTGTACTATTATTTTAATATATGTTACAGGTATATTATCTTTTTAATAGTTTTTTATGCAATTTTTTTCATGATGATTTTATAATTATAATATTAAAGCTAATAGAAAAATTTTTTAATGAATTAGATGGTACTAAATTACTTTTAATCTGTATCTTCAAAGAAAAATGAATATCATACAAATAGTAAATTCCTAATAGAATTATGGTTAATTTCAAAAGATTAGCTGGATGTATTCAGATCTAATGTTAAAATATGTGAATTATTTAAATAATATAAAATCAAAAAATAGTACTTAAAAAGATTTAGCAATATTAATTTATAATCTATTTAAAGGCTATTTAGGAAAATCAGTAAAAAGAAAATTAGAATAGAATTGATCTAGCAGTAATTTTAGGTACATTAGTAAGTTTTAGATAGGTATTTGATAATATCGATCAATACCATGTGTTGAAAAATAGCAAAAGGCGTTGAGAAACAGACTCAATGTTAACTAACACTATTTAAAAATATATATATCAACATTAATTTATATGTAAATCAACATATAGTCAATCAATACTAGTTGAAAAATACATAAAATATCATTTATTAATATATTTATCAATACTAAAATACGATATAGCAACGGTGCTTCAAATAGTGGTTTTTTACTAATAGTTTATTAATAATACAATATTTTCACAATCTGATGTAATTGATTCATTGAAATATCATAAAAAATATTATCTAAATATTAATATTGAGAATTTTAACATTATTTAGATTTAGCATGTTCAGTAATTTACTTTTACAATCTATTATATTTTCTAAAATAATTATGAAATGAGAAATTAATGTTCTTTTATATCATATTAAATAGTGATTCACAAACCATCTTGAAAAATCAATTGGCTGTTACAAGACTATCATCGTCAGAATTTTCTGGCTGTTCATCTTTACCAGTCATTATCAATACATCATTCACTATATTATCTATATCACAATCCTCTTCAATATGTTGATCTAGAAAAAAATAAAATGCTTCTTTATTAGCGTTGTCAACCTAAGTAAAATAAAGTATTTCAATAACACAATAAAGAAATGAATAAATCTAGATATAATAATTACATTATTTTCTTTATCAATCAACATTTTGATCCATGAATCAATAACTTCTGTATCAATTTCATCAAGAGGTATTTTTCATCAAATATCGTCTCTAATACAGATTATACCTAAATACCGTTTTTTACTGTTCATTTGTTTTCTGATAAAAAAACTAATTTAATTATTAGTATAATATAGGTGTCTAAATCTGGATTATTCAGATCACTCAGAATATACAGATCTTTGTGAACTTTTTGTACATTCTCAAGTTCTTTTAATTTCTTTATTTGTAATTTAGTGTAGTTATCTTTAAATGGTTTTATCCTATTGATTCCAAATATACTTCATAATACTTCCTTAATATATTGTATATAATAACCTTTCTTTGATCAATTTGAGATAAGTAACTAAATATTTTAATAATATACGTCATTAATTTATTAAATAATACACATTATAATTGTTAACTGATGAATAATAGTAATAAATTAAAATACCAATAGAAGAATAAATTTTTTCTTCCCAGAGTTCATTGAATATAATACCCTTTTCTTCTAGCTTCATGAGTTGACTATTACAATAATCATCACTTTCTATAAAAGGTTTGAATTAAATTTTGAGTTTTTTATTCATAATCTGTCGATTATATTCGTAGAATAACTTGGTCAAAAATTGTTCACTGGCATTCTACGATAATATAAATAAATATAAATGAATAATATAGAAATAAAAGAATTAATAAGAAATATATAATTATGTAGTAAAAAGGTTTCGATTTGTTAATTTTCTTTTTTCCTTTTCCTTTACTAACTCTGCTATCTTCTTCAGTTTTAATATCTTCAAATTTTTTCAAAAGTTTAGAGATTTAGATGGTTTATTCTTTGATCATACCTTCTAACCTACTTTGATTTTCTATTAATTCATTGAGTGTTAAATTCATTTTTTAGCAAATTTGGAATAACTTTGCCAAACTTTTTTAATCTAGTTTATCTGCAGTTGCTATAATAAATACATAGTAAATGTTAATTAATACATGTTCGTGTTAATAAACATAATAAACATTTATAAATAAAGAACTCTACCTTGGTAAATTATTACTTTAGAGAAGAAAGGAACAACTTCTCTAGATTTAGATACAGCTGTTACTGCAGTTGTAGATATTTTAAAGAAAGCTGTATATATAATAAATATTAAAAATATGTGATCATATTATTAAGCATAATAAACAGTTTATAAATGAAAAACTCTACCTTGATAAGTTGTTATTTTAGAGGAAGAAACAACAACTTCTTTAGATTTAGATATGGCTGTTGCTGTAGTTGTAGATGTTTTAGAGGAAACTGTATATATAATAAATGTTAATAAATATGTGATCATGTCATTAAGTGTAATAATAGTTTATAAATGAAAAATTCTACCTTAGTAAGTTGTTACTTTGAAGGAGAAAGAAACAATTTCTCTAAATTTAAATATGATTATTATAGAAGAACGAGCTGATGATACTTTAGAAAAATTAACTAGTAATACTGTTAATAATGTTTCTTTTATTGTTAGAGATAAAAGGCTTGAATTATTATTGAGCAAATTAATTTTCACTAATTTTACTTTTTTAGGTTGCAGAATAATATTATCACTTGGTTGCGATGGTGAAATTGAAGTTGAAATTGTATCCAATGTTTCTTGTAATAGTTGTGACAAAGTAGTTGATTGTATACTTATGATTATATATTTTTATATAATTTAATGGTAGTATATAGGAGTGTTTCTAGGAAAATCAGGTTCCGAGAAATTTTTGACTAAAATTAAAAGCTTAATACATTTTAATCTAATAACA